GAAATAAGAAAAAAACACAGATAATGGTGGTCGCATGAAGAGTAAAGGGTAACCATTTGCGGTACGTGATGCTAGTTTTTTGTGTTTTTTTTTTTTGAGACAGTCTTGCTCTGTCACCTAGGCTGGAGCAGTGGCATGATCTCAGCTCACTGCAACCTCCACCTCCCAGGTTCAAGCGATTCTCCTGCCTCAGCCTCCTGAGTAGCTGGGATCACAGGTGCACACCACCACACCTGGCTAATTTTTGTATTTTTAGTAGAGATGGGGCTTTCACCATGTTGGTCAGGCTGGTCTCAAACTCCTGACCATGTGATCCACCCGCCTCGGCCTCCCAAAGTGCTGGGATTATAGGCATAAGCCACCACGCCCAGCCTTTTTCTTTTCTTTTTTGAGACGGAGTCTCACCCTGTCACCCAGGCTGGAGTGCAGTGACACGATCTCAGGTCACTGCAACCTCAGCCTCCGGAGTAGCTGGGATTACAGGAGGCCACCACTACACCCGGCTAGATTTTTGTAATTTTTTGTAGTAGAGATGGGGTTTCACCATGTTGGCCAGGTTGGTCCTGAAATCCTGACCTCAGGTGATCCGCTCACCTCAGCACCCAGCCAGGTGTTAGTTTTTTTACAACCTGTGTGAAACATTTGGGTGGGCCCCAGGAAATGAATGTTTATTTGGGGAAGGGGGAGGCCTTTTTTCTTAGAGAAAATTTACATGTATTCCCCATCTACAAAAATTATATGCATTTAGTGCATAAGCTGACATTTCAATGAGATTGTGAAATGACCACAATGGGGAGAGTCCTGAAGAAAATATTGAGTATAAAAAGCCAGAAGAGGACAGGTACACTGGCTCAGGCCTGCAATCCCAGCACTTTGGGAGGACGGGGTTTCGTCTCTACTAAAAATACCAAAATGAGCCTGTTGCAGTGGCAGAGGCTGAGGAGAATCGCTTGAACCCGAGGTGGAGGTTGCAGTGAGCAGTGGTTGAGATCACGCCATTGCACTCCAGCCTGGACAACAGGGATTCAGTCTCAAAAAAAAGGAATTCAGAGGGTAAGTGGAAACAAGTTTTATTATCATTAATGGGACTAAAGCGCTTTAGTCCAGAAACTCAGATTTGTAAAACCATCACTGCTAACATCATTATAACCACAGCTGTACTGACACTCAAAAATCCACCCACCTTGGAATTTTGGCCCCTTGGTCCTACATTTCCCTGAGGCAGATTGCTTTAAACACCAGTTGTGCCCCTTATACCCACTTTTGGCATCCCTAAACACTTGCTTGCCAAAAACCTATCACCATGGCTATGGATTGTAGATTTTCCCAATTCCATTAATTCCTATCACTAGTTGGGCATTTCTATAGCTTATTTTCCCAACCTCAGACTCACCATGACTTTCTTAAAAGTAGCTCCATCAATACTTTAAGCTGAAAACCAATTAGCACAGAGGCCTACGAAACCTGACAATTTGCTCATATGGGGAATTAGGAAATACTGCACTTTTAACGCATAAGACACCTTGTAAAATACCCATATGAAGGGGTGGCCTGCCCCTACACACCCGTGGGCGTTTCTCATCAGGTGGAACAAGAGACTTGAGAGGCACAGAGACAAAGTATAAAGAAAAGTGGGCCTAGGGGACCAGCGCTCAGCATATGGAGGACCCGCGGGGACCCCTCAGTATTTATTGATCATTATCTTTACCATCTCAGAGAGCGGGAAGTGGCAGGACAATAGGGTCATAGTAGGGAGATCAGCAAGATGTATGAATAAAGATCTGTGTCATGAGTAAGGAAAAGTGCTGTGCTTTGATGTGCATATATACAAACATCTCCATAAACATTTTCAGTGCATAAAGAGCAGCATTGCTACTACCACGTCCCACCTCTAGGTGGTTTACAACATACGATTGGGTTTTACATTCCATTGCCCAGGGATGGGCAGGAGACAGAGGCCTGCCTTCCTTTCACTAATCCTCCTCAGCACAGGCACAGACCCTTTATGGGTGTCAGGCTGGGGGATGATCAGGTCTTTCCCTTCCTAATGAGGCCATATTTCAGACTATCACATGGGGAGAAACCTTGGACAATACCTAGCTTGCCTAGGCAGAGGTCCCTGCGGCCTTCTGCAGTGTTTGTGTCCCTGGGTACTTGAGATTAGAGTACGGTGATGACTGTAGCAAGCATACTGCCTTCAGGCACTTGTTTCACAAAGCACATCCTGCACAGCCCCAAATCCATTAAACCTTGAGTTGACACAGCAAGTCTCCGCAAGGACAGGGTTGGGGGTACGGTTACAGATTAACAGCATCTCAAGGCAGAAGAATTTTTCTTAGAACAAAACAAAATGGAGTCTCTGTCCACTTCTTTCTACATACACACAGTAACAGTCTGATCTCTTTTCCCCACACCCATAAAATTTTAACTGGCTGCAGTGTTAAATGCCATGGAGTTATAATAGCCTTTGAATGTGATTTATGCTTACAACGAATGAACAGATGAAAAGCACTGTGCTTTATAAAGTAAATACTATACACTCCAAATGGATTGCAAAAATTTATTAAAATTGGAGACAGAGACTCCATCAGGCTGTCTACAAAGACCATTGGGAGGCTGAGGATCACTTGAGCCCAGAAGTCTGAGGCTGTAGTAAGCCTCAAAGGGCCACTGCACTCCAGCTTGGGTGAGGCAAGACCCTGTCTCAAAAAATAAGACAGACTTTTAGCCACATTTCCAGACTTCAATTAAAATGGTACATGGGAATGCAGAATATCAGATCTTTTATTGTCATCAGGTAATCAGTGAGAGAGTTCAAGCTGGACTGAGATCATCATGTATTCTGCAATTATAATAGTCCCGATATTTCCAATCCTCACCTTTCAAGCGGTAAGCTACATGCTTGCTTGCTGTGGTCATTAAAAACCCTGAAAGCAAAGACAACATATTAATCATGGCAAAAAACAAACGTGTGATGCTTGTTAGTAGAGTAACCTCAGAATCAAAATGGAACGGTTTTATAGTGATATCATTATATTTCATTTGGCAGAATCATTACATCATTGGTTACGTTGAAAATTATCACATGTACCAAAAGCTGACTCACCTAGTTTAGGATAACAGGTCTGCCTGTTTGAAGATGAAAAATAATCCCATTTAAAATTTCCCTACTCAATTTCCTTTTCAGTCACATGTCAACTTTCAAACAGCTAATCACTCCCATCTACAGATTAAGGTGTATATGCCACTAAAACCTTTTGCCACCTTAAAAATTTCCTTAAAAGTTTAAACTAACCTGCATTTCTTCAAGCATGAATTCTGAGTCCTGAAATTAAGGGACAATACACAGTAAGACAACTTGCATACAATTAAGGGTAACCCAAAACCTCCAAACACTGTAGAATGACTATATTCCCCTTTTCAGGGCATAAACTAGAATGTTACAGCCAGATACATCAGATAGGAGCGAAAGACTTAATATTGCTCATCAGCGTTAGTCTGCTGAACTATGTTATCATCATTGTATCGGCTTTACAACACTTTAAAAGCCAGACTTGAGGTGGGACCCGGTGGCTCACGCCTGTAATCCCAGCACTTTGGGAGGTCAATGCGCACAGATCACTTGAGGTGAAGAGTTGGAGACCAGCCTGAACAACATGGTGGTACAAAAATTAGCCAGGCGTGGTGGCACATGGCTGTAATCCCAGCTACTCAGGAGGATGAGGCAGGAGAATCCCTAGAACCCGGGAGGCAGAGGTTGCAGTGAGCTGATAGTGCCACTGCACTCCATTCCGGGCAAGACCTAGACTCTGGTCTCAATTAAAAAAAAAAACAACTTGGGACTGCTATACCTTTGCTTCTTTAAAACTTGCTCCACACGGTGTAGTCAAGTCGACTCTCCATACCTGCAGAAATTTAATCTCCTTTACCAACAGGTAGAAGTAATAGGTGGATTTCTAAAAGATTTCCCAACTACTGTTTCAGTTTAAGATTAATCTCCATTTTCTTTCAGAGAGATTCCCATCTGCTTTAATTTTAAAATCATCACTAACAGTAGCTCACTCAATAAACATGTTAACATCAATAAAACATACCTTTAAAAGGTCTGCAAACATCGGCACCTGAAAAAGTTTCACACCATTTCCTACATTGAATATCATTTACTTTTCAAAGTAAATATTCAAATATTTACTTTCAAATATCTTATCTAATGCTTTTAAATAACTGCTTTAATACAGTACTTTCATACTGCCTACTTTTCAAAATTTTCTAACAAAACGACTCTGTAACAGTCATCAATTAGTAAGACCACATTTCAGAAACAAGCTAGAGGAACTATCTTCATGTCCTTATCCAAGCAAGCCATCCACAGATAAAAATGTTACCGGGAGGTGGAATACAAATGAGGCCTTCTATTAAAATGCTAAACATCATTAAATTCTTTTCAAAGTTGTCTGTCACAGGGTTCTTCAGTGTTACCTTCTGTCTACACGCTCATTTCAGGTCAGACATTTGATCAACATCATTACACAAACCCCGTTCCAAACATGCTCAAGGAAAATACACACTGTTTCAAACATGTTCAAGGAAAACAGTCAGAATTCATCAGCCAAGCCTTAAACCATTAGCTCAGCAGTAAGCATATCACTATCAGCATTTTCATTAATACTTACCAGAAACATAAAGCTGGTCCAGACAAGTTGGACTCCACCTAAAAATTAAGAGTGGTCTTACAATAGCCACAGATGAGTTTCCCCCCACCTGCCAAAACTAACAAATGCCTTTAATCAGTTAGAGCTAATTAAGACCTTCATGTTCAGTCAGTATTTGCTTATCATCATCTAGGCTGCATTTACAAACTTTCTTATTAATCATTAACAGGACAAGAACCCGCCATTTATTTAATGCATTTAGCACTGGTAGGAGGTAACTCTAAAAAGCCATTTGTGCCATAGGCAGTTTGCCCAGTTACCTGTTTACTTGGATATAATTTTACTTACCATTTCAACTTCTAGTTTTCTAATGCCTGTAATTTTAATACAAAATTGTCAGTAAAGAATATTTTAATGGTAGATTGGTGGTACACTGCTTAACTAGTAACAGCAAACCGCAACCACCCCAGACACATCAGACACACAGTACATTTCTTCATGATTCAATCTGCTGAACTATGCAGCCATCATAGTATCTGGTTTCACGTTTTCCTCAGTATTAAATTTAGTATCAATATGAGAGCAAAACTCTCATTTGAAAAGTGGGGAGAAAAACACTAATATATATATAATCATTCATTTGGCTATTTTCTAATCCCTCAAAAAGTGAGAAGTACAATATAGAGGTTTCTCACCTGTATGCCAATGGCTTGAGTTAGGCTTGCTCTTTAGGATCTGGGAAGAAACAACTTCATGTGAACTTAGGTGTACTCTCTATGTTCCCCAAATCACCATTTTGGGTGCCTCAGTTAAGATAATGGTGGTTAAGCTCCTCATCATTCTAGCAGTCAAGAGTAGCAAATAAACTGTCATCATTGTGGCACATCCAGTGACTTTAAATCTTTTTGAAGGAATTTTCAACTTACTTCAGTAGCTATTGTCATCCCTCCTTTGGGACACAACTAGAAAACAAAAAGATGCAAGCAGAACAGTGAGAATGAACCTTACTGCAGTCACGCTAAATATCAATGCTGTTAATATTAAAGCCTCAGAATAGAATTTCAGAAATCCCTTCTGTCCACTACTCTTAAAGCATCACAGGCTAAGACCATCTCTTAGATTTCATTCTTCCCACCGTACTTTCCCCGATTCTTACCTGCCCATAAGGTGCTATCGAGAGCCACATTGCATCTGCACCCAGCACCATACCTAAAGAGATCGGGTACAGATTTTAATTCGTTGTTCCACGCTTCTTTATGTCGTGTTTTTAAATCAATGATGCAGGTAACATATCATTATCTAGCGACAGGTAAAGAATACACTTAATGTTACAAAGGAGCACTGCACCCGCAGTTAAGAACCACTAACGGCCAGGCGCAGTGGCTCACGCCTAGTAATTCCAGCACTTTGGGAGACCACGGCTGGTGGATCACTCCAAGTCAGGAATTCAAGACCAGTCTGGCCAACATGATGAGACCTACTAAAAATATAAAAGCCTAGCCTGGGGGCGCGCGCCTGTAGTCCCAGTTACTCGGGAGGCTGGGGCAGAACTACTTGAACTAGGACGCGGAGGTTGCTATGAACCGAGATGGCACCACTGCATTCCCGCCTGGGTGACAGAATGAGGCTCGGTCTCAAAAAAAAAAAAAAAAGCCTCAAAAAAAAAAAAAAAAAAGGAAAAAGAAACACTAATGGAAATATTGGTGGCAGCGCGGAATGCAGGCACTTAGAGAAGCACGTGGACGGAATCTCGGAATGCAGGCACTTAGAGAAGCACGTGGACTCCCACCGCCAGCCTTTCCCGAGGACTGGCGGCTGATGGAGGCTCGGGTCACGGCCCTTAACAATAGCTTACTAGGGTGACTCGGCATGTGCTACCATCAGAGCGGTTGGCATTCATCATTACTCTCAGATGTCCCTACCAACACAGGCTTCATCACAGGCAGGGCACGAGAGCCGAGGCTTCTCCGCAGTTCTACCCGAACAACATAGTCGCAGCTTAGGTCACGGACGCACCAAACGTGCAATCCCCCACCATCTTCAACTTGTACGCCCTGCAAAGGCGCACGACTGGCTTAGAAGGCCCAGTCAGTTCAGGGTGACCTTAGCTGACAAAGGATGGAGGGCCCCAAAACCCGCAACATTCGCAAAGATAAACCATACCTCACAACAGTCGGCTCCCACCTCGAAAAGACAATATGGTGCCTGGGCTCCCGCATATAAGAGTTCTTGTGATGACGTCACGACGCACGCTCCCGGCGGCGTCCGCTTCGGCTCCTCCCCCTGACCCCCCTCAATCTTTCTCTCCTCCAGCACCACCTTCTTCCCGCCCCCTAAGCCCGCCCCTTTTCCCCGCCCTTCCTCGCCATTTTGGGCGGAGACATGACCGCCCACGTGACGCCGTGCTCCCGTCCTCCTCCCGACTGAGGAGGAAGAGCAGAGAGGGGAGGGGGCGCGAGGCAAGGAAAGCTCTGGGGGTGGGGGAAGGGGGGCGGTGTAAGGCTGAGTGATTTCCTTCCGGCACGTCGCCCGCTCCGTGGGAGGGGGTGGGGGGTTTCACTTCCGGGACGGTGTTCCGGCCCATTCCGGCCCATTTCCACCCCCGGAGGTAGGTGCTGCTCCTTGACTGGACTCGGGCCCCACACCCCAGTGCCACTTCCCTGCCCCGGGGTCACCTCGCCCGCCCTCCGCCGCAGCGCTCTCGTGGGGCGCTCAGCTACTTTCCTTCATCCCGCCTCCAGGCACCGGGCGACCTTCCACCCCCTTGGCCCCCGGCCGGGCTGATTTGCCGGACCCGCCCCCTCGCGGGGCCCCTCCCTCAGGACCCCGGGATGGGTGGCCCCCTCCCCCACCGCAGACGGGACACACCCAGATAAGCACACCCACCTCGCGGCGGCTCCCCGCCCGCCGCCGCCTGGAGCCGGTCCGCGGGCGCCGCCCCCTTCTTAGTTCTCACCTGAGCGCTGGCTCCCCCGCCCGACGTCTTGTCCCCCTCTTCTCCAAAGTTCCTCAGTGACATTTTACCCTTTAGTTAGTTCCCCTCTCCCCATGCTTCCTAACGCAGAAGAAAACTGCTCAAGTGCTGGAGTGGCCAACCCCATGCCGTTCCCAATTCTCCCTCTTACAGCTCTCACCCCTCCAGTGCCGACGGTAGCGAAAGACTTTACTCCAGGGGCTTCCTCACTGGGGAATTGCCGGAAAGAGCAAACAAAAAAGGCGCTGGTGTAGGCTCCAAAATAAACACATCTGAATTCATGATGGCATCGACAGAGGCTCTTATTGGATTAAAAGTTTCAAAACAAACACTAACGCTTTGGAAAAAGGTCAGATTGGCTAAAGTTGATTGTTGAAAACAGTGTATACACTTCCCTATTTAATAAGTGTGTTGTTAATGCGGGGCAGTACTGTGAACTTGGCAGAATAAGTTCCTGAAGTTTCAGGTGTGGTGTAACTATGTAATATATAGATAAGTGGATGCACATTGGGCTCAAGTAAATGTCTTCCTGTTCGGATTTATAGAAACTACTTTCAGTAGTTGAAACTGTACTTTCAGCTCTCTTGTATACAGCTTCAGGTTTAGTGTTTCAACCATTCTTAAAAAATATTTTAATGGAAAAATGTTGGGCATACTTGGTAAATGCTGTATTTTTTCATCGGATCTGGAGAACTAAGTTTCAGGATGGAAGTATCATCACCACCTTGAAATTGCCAACTTCGATTTTGGCAGATACCCAGCTTTGCTAATTTTGACAACTGAACTTCACATTCTCTGCATCGTGGTTGAATCCGGGCACAACTGTGAGATTTTTTCTAACCTAGAGTTTGCCTCACAGCCCTATAACCAAAGTCTTTTTGTGGCGGGCTCTGACTCTTAAGCTTATAAATATTAGCCTACATTCATGTGTAATATTAGTCCCTTTATAAAATAGTAATTCTTGCAGCAGGTAGTAGAATACTAAGAGGGATATCAAGCCATCTGTGTAGAATTGCATTTATTCAGAAAGCTTTCCTCCTGCAGAGAAAAGTTGTAAAGTTGTTATGAGATTTTATGTTCAGTTTGCAAGTACCTTATAGTTAACACTTAGTCCTTCCCACTACCTTCTGTTGAACTTTATTTTGATGTTATATACCTTATTAGTAAGGAAAGCATGGTCATAACATGAATTTTTAGGAGTCTGCAGATCACTTTTTAGTTTTAACTGTATAATCCTGTGAAACTTAAACTAAAAACCTGTTGGTAGTTCTGTTTCCACATCTAAACATAAGGAAGGTATTTCTTTTACCTGAAAATTTTGAGATTTTACCAGATAACTATATTTAAATACTTTTGAAATTGAAAACGTCCTGGAAGTAAAATTGTAATTATTAATGAGAATATGATTTTTTTCAGCAGGGTTGAATGTACCCTCAGGCACGATCATGGAGAAAGGTGGGAACATACAATTGGAGATTCCTGACTTCAGCAACTCTGTCTTGAGCCATCTAAACCAGTTGCGCATGCAGGGCCGTCTCTGTGATATTGTGGTCAATGTGCAAGGACAAGCTTTTCGGGCTCACAAAGTGGTGCTGGCTGCCAGCTCCCCCTATTTCCGGGATCACATGTCCTTGAATGAGATGAGTACAGTCTCCATTTCAGTCATCAAGAACCCTACTGTTTTTGAACAGCTCCTTTCTTTCTGTTACACAGGGCGGATATGCCTGCAACTGGCAGATATCATCAGCTACCTAACAGCTGCCAGTTTTCTGCAGATGCAGCATATTATAGACAAATGTACACAGATCCTGGAGGGCATTCATTTCAAAATTAATGTATCTGAGGTTGAAGCAGAATTAAGTCAAACAAGGACAAAGCATCAAGAGAGACCTCCAGAGTCTCACAGGGTTACACCAAATCTCAACCGCTCCCTTAGCCCACGACATAATACCCCAAAGGGAAACCGGCGAGGTCAGGTTAGTGCTGTGCTGGATATCAGAGAGCTAAGTCCTCCTGAGGAGTCCACCAGCCCTCAGATCATTGAACCAAGTTCTGATGTAGAGAGCCGGGAGCCCATTCTTCGGATCAACCGAGCAGGACAGTGGTATGTGGAGACAGGAGTGGCAGACCGTGGGGGTCGGAGTGATGATGAAGTTAGAGTTCTTGGAGCAGTACACATCAAAACTGAAAATCTGGAGGAGTGGCTTGGGCCTGAGAATCAGCCTTCTGGAGAAGATGGGAGTAGTGCAGAGGAAGTAACAGCCATGGTAATTGATACCACAGGCCATGGTTCTGTAGGACAGGAAAATTACACTTTAGGATCTTCAGGAGCCAAGGTGGCTCGGCCAACAAGCAGTGAAGTTGACAGGTAGGTTTGGTTTGATTTTGTTTTCCCATGTAATGGCTATTGTGTAGACATCACTAAAACGGGTCCTGTGTAGTACAGAGAGCATTTTCCTTACCTGATTTTCTTGGTCAAAATAAGTTGATGTTGGGGAAACTGGAGGTGTGCCAAAAGACTTGCATTCTTGTTTTTTTAAAGCAGGAAGCTCCATTCCTGAAGTATTCACAGTGTTGTGAGAACTGTGGTAAAGTTAGACACTTCCATGAATCAGAATAGCATCTGCAGCCACACTAGGATAGGATCAGTAATTGCCAGGGCTTCTTGGGGATTCCAGGCAGGGAGCCGATCATCAGCTGGGAGCCTGGCAGCATTGCCCTTCCTTGGTGTGTTATCACACAGGTAGGTGGCCTCCGGAAGCCTCACTTTCCTTTGTGGCACTGCTTCCTTTTCTTTGCCCCCAACTACCAAATTAGAGGAAGTATGGTACCAGCAGTAATTGTTCTTTTCAAATTAGTAAAATAGTAATTCTGAAGAAAAGCATTACTGATGTTTCTCATCTCTTTTTTTCCCTTGTTATGTGATGGTATCTTCCCTGTTGTCTTTCATGGATGACTGCTGCTACCACAGGCCTGACAATCTCCCTTTTTTCACCTCACTTTTCTCTTTTAATATGTTGTATTTATTAGAACATTTCTTTTTGGTAGAAATACCATGAGTTTCAGTCAACTGAGAGAAAGTCTCAATTGGAAGAAAGAAATATTACTAATTTAGATTGGTAATATTTGTTCTTTTTCTGTCTTAAAAATAAATTTAAATTGACTGTATGAGCAGAGAAAACTAAAGAACTGTTATTTTGGTTTGGTCTTGAGAAACAAATGTATCACAGAGATTCAGTTAGTGTATACTGTATCCATCTTTTTATGTTATGTTATGTTATGTTATTTTTGAGACGAAGTCTCACTCTATTGCCCAGGTTGGAGTGCAGTAGTGTGATCTCGGCTCACTGCAGCCTCCACCTCCAGGGTTCAGGTGATTCTCCTGCCACTGTGCCTGGCCTCAGGTGATCTTGATTTGAGTATTGTCTTCCTGTGTCCTTATTAAAATAATCTTGAGCATAGAACTTGTCCTCCTATGTTAGAACTGTGTCAGAAGTTCTTGGGTGATGGGTGCACCAAAATCTCACAAATCACGGAAGAACTCACTTATGTAACGAGATACCACCTGTTCCCTGATAACTTACGGAAATAAAAAAAATTAAAAAAACAAAACTATCAGAAGTAATATCAGAACCAGGTGTGGTGGCTCACACCTGTGATCCCAGCACTTTGGGAGGCTGAGGCGGGTGGATTACTTGAGGCCAGGAGTTCGAGACCATCCTGGCCAACATGGTGAAACTCCATCTCTACTAAAAATACAAAAATTAGCTGAGCGTGGTGGCCACGCGCCTGTAATCTCAGCTATTTCGGCAGCTGAGGCAGGAGAATCACTTGAACCCAGGAGGTGGAGGTTGCAGTTAGCTGAGATTGCGCCACTGTACTCCAGCCTGGGCAACAGAGCGAGACTCTGTCTCAAAAAAAAAAAAAAAGTAATATCAACTTTAAATGCAAAGATTTTTTAATCTCCATGATCTGTATCAGTAGTCTAAAATACAGGTTATTATGGGACCTTGGAGAAGAAACAGCCAAAAACCTGGCAATTACATAGAAGAAACACAATTATAGGCCCTGTTTTAATTTATTCCTTTATGGTCTCCCAGTATTTATTTAAGGAAGAAAGCTTATATTTAGCTTTAGCTTCACCAGCTCATATGGTCTGTTATGTCATTTTGTGTTTATTAAATTTACTAGGGCTAACCTATTATTTCAAATCAGATTATGTATTAACTCCATGAAAGTATTTGTCAGTTATTTGTTGCATGGTTTGTTCCCCTTTCTTTAGCCATAGAGTAAAGAGGGGCGACATCACCAT